CTTTCCCCTTGCCCTCCCCCTCCTTCCTATCCTCGTCCTCCCTCTTCGTCTTCCTCCTCGTGTTCCCCCCCAACAGCCGCCCCTGGCCGCCTTCGTTGTCTCCTGGTATTCCGTCTCTTTGTCTTGTCCTCGTTATTCCGTTTTTTATCATCCTCGGCTTGTTAAGTCGAGAACAACGGAAGTTCCCCTTAATCATCTGGAGCGAGAAGTAGTCTTCTCGAGCGCGATGTATTTTGCAATCTGTTCCCTCGCTAGTCCCGCCCCGCATCTGGTGGTAGGCGTGGGGTGGGCTCCGCCGCAAGATTAGGCCGAAGCGATGCGCGTCGCATGCGATTCTGCATCAAGGAACCACATCACGTTCTAGGTTCACATTCCCACGGAGTGGTGCACCATGCCCTGGTCCCTCCCCCATCGCCGCCCTCCCTGCGAGCGCTGCAGGACTTGTCTGCACATGAGAGCACTGCAATGTCGGCGGGCATTCCCTGACAAATCATGACTGTTGATTTTCATTCGGATGGATGGTAGATCTTTCTCGTAAAACGTCGTTCCTTTTGATTCCATCAGAGTATTGTCCCCAAGCGTGAGCCTAACCACAGTTGCTCGGATCCAAGGTGGGTGGTTTTCAATTGCTCTCGCGTGAGATATTTTAAATTACATTATCGCGGTGCTTCAAAGTGCCAAGAACTGTAATGATGCACCACAGGCGACTTTCAACATGTGAATCCTCCGTTCACTGGTCATGACAGCCGACCCTTTCAAGAAAGCCGGCTCATTTTCAGCATCGTCTTATCGTTGTGGCGCGGCGTCCGTCTATGTTACGTTTTTTGTTTCTCCGTTTGCTCGGACGGGGGGGCGAGCCGCCTTTGACCGCAAGCTGGTCTGACATGTTGCCTGGCCGATGTTGGTTTACACGATCGGTGGTGTGCGTGTCAACACCAGCAGGGCCTCACCGAGCAGCCTGACGGGGCCCTCGGCCCTTATCTGACCAGGCGCACTTGCCGCAGTGTTAAGCAGAAGCCAGCTCTAGCAAGCGAAGGGAGCTCTGAGGTGGGGGGCATGCGTCAGGAGCGACACTCAGAATCAGTATCGTTTTACCGAGCCCTATCCCCATCGCCATCCCCATCCAGACCCCACCATCTCAGCACCAGGGATATACCCCTCGGAACCCGAAGGACACAGCCTGTATCCCCATCTAGGAGGGTAAATCGGCCAGTGGGGCCCAGGCCACGCTCATTTGGACAGGGATCGGTCCAACGATGCTCACAGAAGTACGCATACAAGGCTGATGGTGAGAGCCACATTTTGAACAGGAACCACCCTCCTTCCTTGAAGCTGCTGGAAAGTTGATGTGCGCGGCGCCTAGGCAAGAGCGACAGTTCGAAAAGGAATCGCCATCCATCCGAGAAGCTGGTGCAGACTTCTAATACGAATGTGCGCGGCACTCAGGCGAGAGCTCCACTTTGAAAACGACCCGCCCTCCATCTTTGAAGCTGTTGCAGTTTTTTATGACGAGTGTGCGCGGCGCTGAGGCGAGGGCTCCATTTGGGAAGCCTCCTTCTCGCCATCCCTGAGATGGCTGTGAAGTCCAGGTTCCAGGATCGTGATTCATGAAGCGACACGCCAGGCCCGACATACCGGCACGTCCCCGGGTCCGACAGGGCGCTGGTGTTTCTCTATCAGCCCACCCATGGCGCTGGTGTTTCTCTATCCGCCCACGGGTGCTCTAGCGGACCTGGACTCCCCCTAATTACTCCATCGTGTTATGCGCAGTCAGAACGGGGAACCTTGTACATTGAAGGAGGGGGTGGTGGATGAGCTGGAGGATGAGCAGGTCCAAGTGGGTGAGAACGAGAATGATGAGCAGCAGCAGCAGGGCAGTGGTATGAGCAGGAGGACCAGGGGAAGGTGGAGGACGGGGCACGATTGGGGCGACAACGACGATGAACGACTCGGTCCAGAATATGACCCGCGCTGGGGCGAGAACGCCTTTCTGAAGGACGTGAGCAAAGCGCCGATTCTGAAACGAGGCTAATGTTGCATCGGGAACGCAATTTTGGAACATTAACACGTTACGGTCGGTGAACAAGAATATACATAGCAATTTTGCAAATCGCATGAGTAGGAACAAAAATAATGCGTGGGATGGAAGGGCCCCGCTCGGACACACTTCGGTGAGAGGGGGACATCGTGTTCATACTGAGCAATGGTTGAGGGGGGGAAGGGAAGGATGAGGGTGAATAGGAGGTAGATGAGGATAGGTGAAGTAGGAGGAGAAGGAAGGAGGAGGGGAAGGAGAAGCAGCAGTACGCACCTATCGCCGTCGTTCTCCTCTAACTGGTGCGACGGCTACCCTTGCTGCCACTGACCTCCCTCATCTTCGCCCTGACCTTAGCCGCCGCCGCTGCTGCTGCTGATTATCGGCCCTGTTGTCCTCCCTGTCCTCCTCGGCCCCCTCCCGCCCCCCCCCAGCCCTCCCCGCTCCTTTGCTCCCAGCGTCCTTCTCGGCCCCCTCGGTGCCGCCCTTCTCCTGCCCATCGCTGCGCGCCCACCCCCGCCCTCCCGGGCCGTGCGTCCGCCGCCTCCGCCGGAGCAGGCGGGCGGCGTCGATCCCGCGAAGGCGAAGCAGCTGCTCTGGTCTTGGCTGCAGAAGTCGCAGAAGGCGAGGCCGCGGAGGAGGGGCAGGACGCGAAGGGAGGGGGGCGGGTGGAACGTCACGGGTCGGGCCCCCCTCGGCCGGCCACGTGGCAGAGCTGGAGTGCGCGTGCGTCCTTCTTCCTTCCTTTCTTCCTTCCTCGGGTCCGTCTTCCCCTCAGCCTCCGCCTCTTGCCCCTCCTCTTCCTCCCCTTCCTCTTGCTCCTCCTCCTCCTCCTCTTCCAAATCTTCCTCAGCCTCCTCCTGTTGCTCCTCCAACTCTTCCTCCCCCCTTCTTCTCCTCCTCTTGATCTCATCCGTCCTCCAGGTGTTCCTGCTCCTTTTCCTCCACCTTCCCGCGTCCTCGTTCACTCCTCCTTCTCCCCCTTCCGTTCTTCGTCATAATATCGAACACGCTTACGGCGAATCACCGCCGCCCCCTGCCCTTCCGGAAGCGCCTATGTGGCCGAACGTTGTGGCCAGAGGCCTGCCAAGTTATCGGACCATGTGTTCCCCGAATCGGTTTGGAAAGCGTTCGGGGAACACGTGGGGGAGAACGAACATGAAGAGGAAGAGGAAGAGGCCTCTTGAGCCGTCTTGAGCCGTCGGAATGGCGAGATGAAACAAATGCCAACATCTTTCAAGCACTTAGGGAAAATGAGCGATTTTGGTCTCTTCGGGCCCTCCTAGAGGACCTCTTGGAGGCCTCTTGGGCCGTCTTGGAGGCCTCTTGGGGGCCTCTTGGGCCGTCTTGGGCAATATCGACGCCATGTTAGGCCGTCTCGGAGGCAGCTTGGGCCGTCTTGGAGGCATCTTTGGGGGCGAAGCTATCGGACCACGTGTTCCCCGAGTCGGTTTGGAAAGCCTTCGGGGAGCAGGTGGGGGAGGAAGAGGAAGAGGAGGAGAAGGAGGAAAAGGGAGAAGGGAGAGAACGCCTCTTCGGAGCCTCTTGAGGCACTCTTGGGCTCGATTGGGCTCTTGGGACCGTCTTGGAGGACATGTTGGTGCTATCTTGGGGTCTCTGGGAGCCTCTTGAGGGCCTCTTGAGGCCTTTTTGGGACTTCTCGGGGGCCTCTTGGGCCGTCTTAGGGCGTTTCTGGACCGTCTGACGCCGTCGGGAGCCGTCTTGGGGGCCTCTGTGAAACGGCTTGGGGCCCTCTTGGGGCGCTTCGGGGCCGTCTTGGAGGCCTCTTGGGCCGTCTTGGGGCCCTCTATGGGCCGTCTTGGGGGCCTCTTGGGCCGTCATGGGGCCATCTTGGAGGCCTCGTGGGCGATCTTGGGGCGATCTTGGGGGCCTCTTGGGCCGTCTTCAGCCGTCGGAATGCCGAGAAGAAGCAAATGCCAACATCCTTTAAAAACCTCAGAAACAACAAACAATGATTTTGGCCTCTTCGGGCCCTCCTGGAGGACCTCTTGGAAGCCGCTGGGGTCGTGTTGGGCCGTCTTGGAGGCTTCTCGGGCGACCTTGGAGGTATCTTGGACTCGCTTGGGCCGTCTTGGAGGCCATCTTTGACCATCTTGGGCGGACTTGGAGGCCATCTTGGAGGCCATCTTGAGCCGTCTTGGAGGATGTTTTGAGGGATTGAGGTCCTGGGCAATCTTTTCGGGTGGCCGGCGGGACGGGCCGAATCCGGCCCAGAAAGGCCCCCCAAACGGCTTCCGATGGCGTCAGACGGGTCAGGAGCCCACCAAGACTGGCCGAAGATGGCCCTAAGATGGCCCACGACGGCCCAAGAGGCCTCCAAGAGGGCCTCCAGGAAGCCTCGGAAAGGCCAAAATCATGGATTTCCTGAGGGTTTTTGAAGGATTGTGGCGTTTGCTTTTTTTCTGCCTTCCGACGGCCCGAGACGGCCCAAGTTCCCCTAAAGATCGCCCAAGAGGCCCAAAACTCGGCCCTAAGAGGCCCCCAATACGGCCCAAGAGGTCTCCAAGACGCTCAAGATGGCCTCCAAGACGGCCCAAGAGCCCTCCAAGACGTCCTCCAAGAAGGCCCGAAATTGTCAAAATGGCCTCCAGACGGCCAAGATGAACTTCAAGATGCCCACGTGTTCCCCGAAGGCTTTCCAAACCGAGTCTGGGAACACATGGTCCGATAGCTTGGCAGGTCTGGCCTCAACGTTCGGCCACATAGGCGCTTCTAAAAAGTCAGGGGGCGGCGGTGATTCGCCGTAGGCGTCTCCGATCCGCCACCCCCTGTTGATTCATCACAGGGGTGCCTGGCGTGCTGAACTTCTTACGATTTTAGTTTTGGTTTTTTTCCAAAAGAACTCCCCCTGGGGCTTCGGCCCGTCCCGCCGGCTACCCGGAAACTGTACAAATCAATGCCTGAAACGGCCGTTTCGCTCGGGAGGTCCTCAAAAAATCGCGAAGATGGCCCAAGATGGCCTGCAATGTGCCTCCAAGACAGCCAAGATGGCCTCCAAGACGGCTAAGATGGCCCCAATATGCATCCAAGACGGCCCAAGATGGCTTCAATATGGTCTAAGACAGCCCAAAAGGCCCGCAAGAGGCCTCCAAGACGGCCCAAGAGGCCTCCAAGAGGTCCTCCAGGAAGGCTTGACGAGGCCAAAATCCTTGATTTTCCTAAGGTTTTTGAGGGATTTTTGCATTTGCGCCTTTTCGGCTTTCCGACGGCCCGTGACGGCCCCAGATGCCCCCAAGGTCGCCCCAAGATCGCCCAAGAGGCCTCCAAGATGGCCCCATGACGGCCCAAGAGGCCCCCAAGACGGCCCCAAGAGGGCGCCAAGACGGCCCAAGAGGCTTCGAAGACGCCCAAGATGGCCTCTAAGACGGCCCTGGAGCACCCCAAGAGGGCCCCAAGTCGGCCCAGAAAGGCACCCGAAACGGCTTCCGACGGCGTCAGATGGGCCAGGAGCCCACCAAGATGGCCGAAGGTGGCTCGCAGCTTGCCCAAGACGGCCCAAGAGGCTTCCAAGAGGGCCTCCAGGAAGGCCAGAAAAGGCCAACAAGAGAGGTTTTTCTCGTAGGTTTTCGAAGGATTTTGACATTTGCTTCGTTTCGGCCTTCCGACGGCCCGCTACGGCCCAAGAGCTCCCAATGATCGCCCAAGGATCGCCCAAGAGGCCTCCAAGATGGCCCCAGAACGGCCCGAGAGGCGCCCAAGACGGCCCCAAGAGGTCCTCAAGACGGCCCAAGAGGCCTCCAAGACGCTCAAGATGGGCTCCAAGACGGCCAAAGAGCCTTCCAAGACGTCCTCCAAGAAGGCCCGAAAGGGTCAAAATGGCCTCCAGGCGGCCAAGATGACCTTCTAGATGCCCACGTGTTCCCCGAAGGCTTTCCAAACTGACTCGGGGAACACATGGTCTGATAGCTTGGCAGGTCTGGCCTCAACGTTCGGGCACATAGGCGCTTCCACAAAGGCAGGGGGCGGCGGTGATTCGCCGTAGGCGTCTTCGATCCGCCGTCTCCTGTCGATTCATCGCAGGGGTGCCTGGCGTGCCGGATGATATGGTTTTGGTTCTTTTTCCAAGAACTCTCCTTGGGGCTTCGGCCCGTCCCGCCGGCCACCCGGAAAGGTTCTCAAAACGCATCAGTCGTGCCTCTGTTTCCTCCAGTTGGCCCAAGATGGCGTCCAAGACGGCCAAGATGGCCCAGGATGCTCTCCAAGACGTCTCCAAGACGGCCCAAGATGGCCTCCAAGATGGCTAAGATGGCCCCAAGATGCCTCCAAGACGGCCCAAGATGTACCCAAGACGGCCTCAGATAGCCTCAGGATGGCCTCAACATGGCCCAAGACGGCCCAAGAGGCCTTCAATACGGCTCAAAAGGCATCCAAGAGGTCCTCCAGGAAGGCCCGAAGAGGCCAAATCCATTGATTTTCCCTAGGTTTTTGAAGGATTTTGGGATTTGCTTCTTCTCGGCATTCCGACGGCTCAAGACGGCCCAAGAGGCCCCCAAGCTCGCCCCAAGATCGCCCACGAGGTCTCCAAGATGGCCCCATGACGGCCCAGGAGTCCCCCAAGACGGCCCCAAGAGGGCCCCAAGAGGCCTCCAAGACGGCCAAGATGGCCTCCAAGACGGCCAAGATGGCCCAAGATGGCCTCCAAGATGGTCCAAAATGGCTTCCAAGTCCGCCCAAGAGAGGAGGAGATGCCTCCAAGTCCGTTCAAGAAACCTCCAAGACGGCCCAAGACGGCCCAAGAGGTGCCCCAGAGGCCTCCAAGACGGCCCAGGAGGCCTCCGAGAGATCCTCCAGGAGGGCCCAAAGAGGCCAAATTCATTGTCCCTAGGTTTTGAAGGATTTTCGTATTTGCTCCTTTTCGGCTTTCCGACGACCCAAGACGGCCCATGAGGCCCCCAAGATCGCCCCCACTGCGCCCACGAGGACTCCAAGATGGCCTCAGGACTGCCCAAGAGGCCCCCAAGACGGCCCCAAGAGGGCACAGAGACGACCCAAGAGGCTTCTAAGACGCCCAAGATGGCCTCTAAGACGGCCCTGGAGCACCCCAAGAGGGCCCCAAGTCGGCCGAGAGAGGCCCCCCAAACGGCTTCCGACGGCGTCAGACGGGCCAGGAGCCCACCAAGATGGCCGAAGTTGACTCGAAGCTGGCCCAAGACGGCCCAAGAGGCCTCCAAGAGGGCCTCCAGGAAGGCCAAGAACATTGTTTCCCCCCCAAAGATCGCCCAAGGATCGCCCAATAGGCCTCCAAGATGGCCCCAGAACGGCCCAAGAGGCCCCCAAGACGGCCCAGGAGGCTTTTAAGACGCCCAAGATGGCCTCCAAGACGGCCCTGAAGCATTCCAAGAGGACCCCAAGTCGGCCCAGAGGGGCCCCCCAAACGGCTTCCGACGGCGTCGGACGGGCCAGGAGCCCACCAAGATGGCCGAAGATGGCCCTAAGATGGCCCAAGACGGCCCAAGAGGCTTCCAAGAGGGCCTCCAGGAAGGGCCGAAAAGGTCAAAATCACTGAGTTCCCGTGAGTTCTTGAAAGATTGTGGCATTTGCTTTTTTTCTGCCTTCCGACGGCCCGCGACGGCCCAAGTGCACCCAAAGATCGCCCAAGAGGCCCACGACGGCCCTCAGAGGCGGCCCAAGACCAAGACGCTCAAGATGGCCTCCAAGACGGGCCAAGAGCCCTCCAAGACGTCCTTCAAGAAGCCGAAAGGGTCAAATTATCCCGGCAAAGCAACCTAACAGCGATGTGTAGGAGCATATCTGGAAGCATTCCCCTTAAGATTCAGATGAGAATCCAGTTGTAGAATTCTGCTGTTCTCGCAGTCGTAGTCGCATTCGCGATGACAGTCGCAGTGGCAACGGCAGTCGCAGTCACAGCCTCAGCCTCAGCCTGCCTCCTCCTCCTCTTTCTCCTGCTCCTCCTCCTCCTCCTCCCCCTCCTCCTCTTCCTCCTGCTCGTCCTCGTTCTCGTCCTCCTCGTCTTGCTCGTCCTCCTCCTCCTGGTGCTCTCTCCTCCTCCTCCTCCTCCTCCTCCTCCTCCTCCTCCTCCTGGTGGTCCTCGTTCTCCTTCTCCTGGTGCTCTCCCCCCCCCTCCTCCTCCTCCTCCTCGTCCTCGTCCTCCTCCTCCTCCTCCTCCTCCTCCTCTTCATCCTCCTCCTCCTCCTCCTCCTCCTCCTCCTCCTCCTCCTCCTCCTCCTCCTCCTCCTCCTCCTCCTGGTAGTCCTCCCCCTCCCCTCCTCCTCCTCCTCCTCCTCCTCCTCCTCTTCCTGGTCGTCCTCGTTCTCGTCCTCCTCGTCTTGCTCGTCCTCCTCCTCCTCCTCGTCCTCCTCCCACCCCCTCTCCCGCCTCCTCCTGTGGTCCCGTCTCCTCCTCCTGGTAACTCCCCCCCCCTCCTCCTCCTCCTTCCTCCTCCTGGTACTCTCCCCCCCCCTCCTCCTCCTCCTCCTCGTCCTCGTCCTCCTCCTCCTCCTCCTCCTCTTCCTCCTCCTCCTCCTCCTCCTCCTCCTCCTCCTCCTCCTCCTCCTGGTACTCCTCCCCCTCCCCTCCTCCTCCTCCTCCTCTTCCTGGTCGTCCTCCTCCTCCTGGTCGTCCTCCTCCTCCTGCTCGTCCTCCTCCTCCTCCTGCTCGTCCTTCTTCTCCTGCTTCTCCTGCCCCTCGTCCTGCTCCTGCTCGTCCTCGTCCTCCTGGTCTTGCTCGTCCTCCCCCTCGTCGTGCTCTTGCCCCTGCTGAAAATGTAGCCCAGGAATGGGAGTTTTGGGAACTCGAAGAGCACGAAGTGGCCTACAGTTGGCTCCGGGCATTCAAAATGTGGCCCGGGAATGGAGTTCTGGGAACTCGAAGAGCACGAAGTGGCCTACAGTTGGCTCCGGGCAGCCAAAATGTGGCCCGGGAATGGAGTTCTGGGAACTCGAAGAGCACGAAGTGGCCTACAGTTGGCTCCGGGCATCCAAAATGTGGCCCGGGAATGGAATTCTGGGAACTCGAAGAGCACGAAGTGTGTGACTGTTGCATCCGGCCCTCCAGAATGTGGCCCGGGAATGGAGTTCTGGGAACTCGAAGAGCACGAAGTGTGTGACTGTTGCATCCGGCCCTCCAGAATGTGGCCCGGGAATGGCGTTCTGGGATGTCGAAGAGCACGAAGTGTGTGACTGTTGCATCCGGTTATTCAGAATGAGCCTGGGAATGGAGTTCTGGGAAGTCGAAGAGCACGAAGTGTGTGACTGTTGGTGAAAAACGAGGTCGGCACAGGCCCGCCCGGCAACTCCCAACACCTGCCCGGACCCCCCTGTGGAGTGATCTGTGAGCTCTTTTGACACCACTAGAAACCTATCAGTCTACGCTGTTAGGTAACAATTATCCCGGCAAAGCAACCTAACAGCGATGTGTAGAAGCATATCTGAAAGCATTCCCCTTACGATTCAAATGAAAATCCAGTTGTCGAATTCTGCTGTTCTCGCAGTCGTAGTCGCATTCGCGATGACAGTCGCAGCGGCAACGGCAGTCGCAGTCACAGCCTCAGCCTCAGCCTGCCTCCTCCTCCTCCTCCTCTTTCTCCTGCTCCTCCTCCTCCTCCTCCTCCTCCTCCTCCTCCTCTTCCTCCTGCTCGTCCTCGTTCTCGTCCTCCTCGTCTTGCTCGTCCTCCTCCTCCTGGTGCTCTCTCCTCCTCCTCCTCCTCCTCCTCCTCCTGGTGGTCCTCGTTCTCCTCCTCCTGGTGCTCTCCCCCCCCCTCCTCCTCCTCGTCCTCCTCCTCCTCCTCCTCCTCGTCCTCCTCCTCCTCTTCCTCCTCCTCCTCCTCCTCCTCCTCCTCCTGGTAGTCCTCCCCCTCCCCTCCTCCTCCTCCTCCTCCTCTTCCTGGTCCTGGTCGTCCTCGTTCTCGTCTCTCTTCCTCGTCTCGTCCTCCTCCTCCTGGTGTTCTCTCCTCCTCCTCCTCCTCCCCCCTCTCCTCCTGGGGTTCTCTCCTCTCTCCCCCCCCCTCCCTCCTCCTCTCCTCCTCCTCCTCCTCCTCCTCCTCCTCCTCCTCCTCCTCTCCTCCTCCTCCTCCTCCTCCTCCTCCTCCTCCCCCTCCCCTCCTCCTCCTCCTCCTCCTCCTCCTCCTGGTCGTCCTCCTCCTCCTGGTCGTCCTCCTCCTCCTGCTCGTCCTCCTCCTCCTCCTGCTCGTCCTTCTTCTCCTGCTCCTCCTGCTCCTCGTCCTGCTCCTGCTCGTCCTCGTCCTCCTGGTCTTGCTCGTCCTCCTCCTCGTCGTGCTCTTGCCCCTGCTGAAAATGTGGCCCAGGAATGGGAGTTCTGGGAAGTCGAAGAGCACGAAGTTGCCTACAGTTGGCTACGGGCATTCAAAATGTGGCCCGGGAATGGAGTTCTGGGAACTCGAAGAGCACGAAGTGGCCTACAGTTGGCTCCGGGCATTCAAAATGTGGCCCGGGAATGGAGTTCTGGGAACTCGAAGAGCACGAAGTGGCCTACAGTTGGCTCCGGGCATTCAAAATGTGGCCCGGGAATGGAGTTCTGGGAACTCGAAGAGCACGAAGTGGCCTACAGTTGGCTCCGGGCATCCAAAATGTGGCCCGGGAATGGAGTTCTGGGAACTCGAAGAGCACGAAGTGGCCTACAGTTGGCTCCGGGCATCCAGAATGTGGCCCGGGAATGGAGTTCTGGGAACTCGAAGAGCACGAAGTGTGTGACTGTTGCATCCGGTTATTCTAAATGTGGCCCGGGAATGGCGTTCTGGGATCTCGAAGAGCACGAAGTGTGTGACTGTTGCATCCGGGTATTCAGAATGAGCCTGGGAATGGAGTTCTGGGAACTCGAAGAGCACGAAGTGTGTGACTGTTGGTGAAAAACGAGCCCGGCACCCTGCCGCCCGGCAACTCCCAACACCTGCCCGGACCCCCCTGTGGAGTGATCTGTGAGCTCTTTTTACCCTACTAGAAACCTATCAGTCTTCGCTGTTAGGTAAAATGGCCTCCAGGCGGCCAAGATGACTTTCAAGATACTCATTTGTTCCCCGAAGGCTTTCCAAACCGATTCGGGGAACACATGGTCCGATAGCTTGGCAGGTCTGGCCTCAACGTTCGGCCACCTAGGCGCTTCCAAAAAGGCAGGCGGCGGCGGTGATTCGCCGTAGGCGTCTTAGATCCGCCGCCCCCTGTCGATTCATCGCAGGGGTGCCTGGCGTGCTAGATCCTTTTGGTTTTGGTTTTGGTTCTTTTTCCACAAGAACTCCCCCTGGGGCTTCGGCCCGTCCCGCCGGGGTCCCGGGAAGGACCTCAATCCGGAAACCAAGACAGCTCAAGATGGCCTCCAAGATGGCCACGTGGGTCCAAGATGGCCTCCAATAATTTTTTTTTACACCGCCTGTCATCGTTGAGTACGACTCGGGGTCCGCAGAAGCGGACGACGCAGCGGCCACATGCCCGTGGCCTCCATCCCCGCACTGGGACAGGGGCCAACGGCGGTGAGAACAGGCAGTAATCGCCATAGACGAGAACGGAAAGGCAGGCCAGGAAAACAGAAGCCGTAGGGAGCCGCGCCCCACGCGGCAAGGGAAACTCCTGAGATAGACGCTCGCGTTCACATCCCATGCGGAAAGACACCCAGGTATTTCAGGCAACCTTTTCGCCCCCAAAAGGTTGCCTGAAATACCGGCTATTTTTGGCCGATCCGCGGTCTAGAAATTAAAGCTCGGAGACCTCGAAGAGGCGCGAGCTGGCGGCGCGCTGCCAGTAGCTCGGCCCGCCGAGAATGGAAGGACAGGCCAGGAAATCAGAAGCCGTAGGGAGCCGCGCCCCACGCGGCAAGGGTAGCTCCTGATGGTCCAAGATGGCCTCCAAGATGGTCCAAGATGGCCTCCATGTTCGCCCAGGATGGTCCAAGACGTCCTCCAAGACGGCCCAAGAGACTCCAAGACGGCCCAAGAGGCCTCCAAGAGGTCCTCCAGGAGGGCCCGAAGAGGCCAACATCATTGATTTTCCCTAGGTGTTGAAAGAATGTTGGCATTTGCTTCTTCTCGGCATTCCGACGGCTCAAGACGGCCCAAGAGGCCCCCAAGATCGCCCGGCCTGCCCTGCGGCTGCGAGGCGAGGGCGGGGAGCAGGAGGAGGAGGAGGAGGAGGAGGAGGAGGAGGAGGAGGAGGAAGAGGAAGAAGAAGAGGGAGGAGGAGGAGGGGGACTGGGGGAGGGAAAGGAGAAGGAGGATGAGGAGGAGGAGGAGGAAGAAGAGGAGGAGGCCTCCTCCTCCCTCCCTTGTTTTATCTCCTCGCCAACCTGTTCGTGTCTCTCTTCTTCCCGCCCCTCCCCCTGTCCTTCCTCCTCCCCCTTCGCTCCTCCTCCCCCATCCGTCTGGAGGGCCCCCCCCGCCCGCCTGCAGACCAAGCGGCCCGCGGACCTGGTGTCGCTGGAGCCAGCGAAAGCGCGCCGCGGGCACACCTGCACCGCCTGGGCGCGCCCCCGCCCCGCCCGTCGTCGCCGCCGCCGTCGGCCCAGGCCTCGTCGTCGTCGTCGTCCTCGTCCTCGTCCTCGTCGTCGTCGTCGTCGGTCGTCGGTCGTCGGTCGTCAGTCGTCGGTCGTCGGTCGTCGGTCGTCGGTCGTCGGTCGTCGGTCGTCGGTCGTCGTCGTGGTCGTCGTCGTCGTCGTCGTCGTCGTCGTCGTCGTCGTCGTCGTCGTCGTCGTCCGTCGTCGTCGTCGTCGTCGTCGTCGTCGTCGTCGTCGTCGTCGTCGTCCGTCGTCCGTCGTCCGTCGTCCGTCGTCGTCGTCGTCGTCGTCGTCGTCGTCGTCGTCGTCGTCGTCGTCGTTGTCGTCGTCGTCGTCGTCGTCGTCGTCCGTCGTCCGTCGTCGTCGTCGTCGTCGCCATCCCCACAATATGACCATCGGAATGCTACTCCCCTCTCACCCCCCGAATGCGTCCTGAGAGTGGCGCTCCCCTCCGCGTATAGTTTCGAACACAAGATTGGCATTGTTTCTTGTTGTTTCGTTGTTGTTTTGTTATTTACATGTATAACCCGAGAGTCGGCGGGCTTTCCAAATCGTGCTCCCGCTGCAGCGTCGGCCTCGTTCTCGGATCGGCGCGACAGGGTCGCGCTCTCGCCAAAGCGCGGGCCACTTGTCTGAACACGGGTCCTTCCTCATCGTTGTCTCCCCGCTCCTTTCCCCTCCGCCTTCTCCTGGTCCTCCTTCTGCTCCTTTCGTTCCTGCTGCTGCTGCTGTTCCTTCCTGTCCTCCTCGCATCATCCTTATCCTCCTCATCCTCTTCCTCCAGCTCATCCTCCAGTTCATCCTCCAGCTCATCCGCTACCTCCTCCTCCAATATACACAGCTGCCCTTTCTGATTGAGCATAGCACGATGGTCTCCTGGGGATTCCAGGTGCGCTACGTCACCCGTCGGCGGACAGAGGAAACACAGCGTCATGGGAAGGGATGGGTGGCAGGGGTAGGATGTCAGGTATGACGCGAGCGCGCCTAGCTTGCCTTCCCTTCTCTCCTCGTCCCGCTTTCCTCGCCCCTCCTCTTCCTGCTGCTGCTGCTTTTGCTGCTTCTCTTCCTCCTCCTTCTTCTCCTTTTCCTTCGCCTCCTCCTCCTCCTCCTCCTCCTCCTCCTCCTCCTCCTCCTCCTCCCCCGTAACAATATTGGCTGAAGTCCGTCCCTCCTCGGGGGTGTCGGACTTGGCCGAAATCGTCAGTACTGCCATCTCGCCCAAGGCCCCTTGGGCCTAGCGCCGCGCCGCTTCCTTCCCGACGCGGCCCTCCATTCTATATGCTGTGATGCCGTGGCTGCGGCCACTGCTCGCGCTGCTACACGTCATCATGCCGCCACATGTTCGCTGGCGGCCCTCCATATTCGACAAGCCCGTGGCGTCCAATGTGGACACGCTCGCCTTCCCAGAGGCGATCGACTGCGCCTACGCAATGCTGTTCAGCTTCCTGAGGATGCTGCCTTGGCTCGTCAAGGCAATCGCAACGTCCGAGCTGCTGGTCCCACTGGAGCTACAAGGGGCTCCATTGCCGTACTACCCGCTGAGAGTTTGCTTGGGCCGTGAACTCGAGGGCGTCGCGAACTTTATCAGGCGTCTTCACACCCGACCGATTCCCCCTGCTGCCGATGCGCTGCGTTGTAACGGGGCTGGACTGCTGCCCCAACCTGTCGTCGCGGATGGAGCCATACCGCTGTCACGCCCTGTGGTTGCTGGTGGCGAAGTGCTGCACAAACGACTTCCCGTACCTCTGCATGCTCAACTCGTTGCTGGTGGCGCTCTCCCTGAAGGCGCTGGTGGCGTTGGCGCCGACCATGCTGGTGATGCCCCTCACGATCTTCTGCATGTGCATTCTGCTCTGGGGATGACCCCATCCTGCCTCTGGGGATGACCTCGCTGGTGACGCTGGTGGCGACTTCCCTGGTGATGCCGAACCCGCTGGTGGCGATGTCCATTTACATGATATTCGACCTGAATTCCCTGGTGTGGCTGCTGCTGCCCGCTTCCCTGGTGAAGAACTCGCTGGTGGCGATGCCCATCCGCATGGCTTGCGACGAGAACTCCATGATGTGGCTGTTGCCGCCCGCATCGCCGAGGAAGATCTCACTGGTGTCGATGACCCTCTTCCTGGCCGCCTATGTGCCCTTCCTGGTGTGGCTACTGCCGCCCACGCTGCTGGTGCAGAGTTCGGTGGTGGCGATGCCCTGCCGCATGACCTTCGACATGAACTTAGTGGCTACGGCCGCCCGCGTAGTAGCTGCAGACATCGCTGGTGGCGATGCTCATCCGCATGCCGTGCTACGAGAATTCTCTGGTGTGGCTGTTGCCGCCAGCGACGCTGCCGCGGAGCTCGCTGGATATCTGGTCCATCCACTTGCTCTTCCTGACCAGAATGGCGCCTTGGGACTCGCAGATGGACCAGCGGCCGAATCCGCTGGAGGTGATGCTGCTTCTGCCGCGGCTGCGCAACCACATCCGGCTGCATGGCTAAGCTCGGTGGCTGCGAGAAGACGGAGTGGCAATCACCGCCCCTTTTTTTTTCGACGCTTTTGCCTCGATCGCATGCCATCGTTCTTCATGGAAGGAGTCTTTCCCATGTGGGGTGACCTTGTGCACGGCCTGTAGCGCTACGATGATGAGTTCGTCTGTAAGACCTTCATGTGGTGATTCTTCGATGCCTGGGATAAGGTTGTGGTCGGGTCTCTCTGGCGGCAATCCTCGCTTCCCGCATGCAGATGTTCTGCCTGCAGCTGGCTTGGGTGGAGACGAGAAGGCAAAGCTTTGTAGTCCAGCTGGGCCGCTTCACCCGCACTGCTTCGACTCGAATGTCAACGACATGAGGATCCTGTCTGAGTTGAGCAGCCCCCGCGTTGCGATTGCTCGGCCACCCCTCTTCCCACCCGATCGCCCACCCCTTCGGCGTCCTTCGCTCTCCTCCCCTGCTGTCCTGTTCACCCCGTCGGTCTCGCTCACTTCGATATCTGCTTTTCCCTCTTTTCCCGCTTGTGTTTCCCGTGAGTGTGCTCCCTCTTACCACGCATCCCCCCAGAGTGCCAATGAAAACACGTCTACCTGTCCCCATCGAGCCGCGTCGGCGTGCTCTCGCGCTGCTCCTGCAGCGAATGGTTACACTGCTTCTGGTGTCCAACGAACGTGCCACGTTGGCGAGCTAGGCCTAGCTGCTGACGAACTGTCCGAAGGGTATGGTCGCTCCTCCTCCCCTCCTCCTCTTCTTCTTCTTCCTCCTCCTCCTCCTCCTCCTCCTCCCCCTCTCCCTCTTCGCCTTCGCGTCGCTGTTTCGTGGGCTCCTTGGGGCCGCTTTGCCGCCTCTTGGGGTCTTCTTGGGGTCTGTCGGGTGCCCCCTGGCGGGCGAGTGTTGGGCCGTTCTGGCGGCTTCGGCGGATTGCCAGGGCCGTGCTGAGGAGCCCTTGAGAGCTGCAGGGGGACGCCTGGGCGGCCAACGACCCTTGGGAGGGGGGTGTGGATGCTCGCAATTGGGTGTGAGGATAGGGGGAGGGACGGCCATCATAATGTGTACGTATGCGTGTGCATATATAGGTGTATGTACATGTTTACGTACGCATGTACGTATGTACGTATGTACGCATGTATGCATGCATGCATGCATGCATGCATGCATGTGTGCATGCATAGGTGTGCGTGTGTGTGTCTGTCTTTCGGTATGTATGTATGCATGTATGTATGTATGTACGTATGCATGTATGCATGTATGCATGTATGCATGTACGTATGTATGTATCTACACACGTGCGTATGTACGTATGCATTTTTGTATGTACGTATGTATGTATGTCTGTCTGTCTGCCTGTCTGTCTGTACATGTATGTATATATGTATGCATGTATGTCTGTAGCTATCTATCTATCAATGCATGTATGTATGTATGCACGGATGTATATATATATGTACGTGTGCATCAACCGATGCAGATGTGTGATAAAACATGCATATACGGTTGTCTGTTTGCTTGTCTGTTTGTCTGTGTGTCTGCTTGTCTGTCTGTCTGTCTGCCTGCCTGCCTGTCCATCTGTCTGTCTTTATGTGTTCGCCTATGCGCGTACGTAGGTAATGCAGGTATGGTTACATGTTTGCAGAGCTATTTATATGTTTATGCGTATGTGTAATTGTAGGTGTAGGCCTACGTGTATGTGTATGTAGATCTGTATGCCTGTCTGTATGTATGTATGCATGCATACATATTTTTTATGTGTATATGCATGCTTGTGTGTATGGATGAGTGTACGCACATATTTCTGTTCACATGTGCTCATACCATGCATGTACGTATGTATGCATGCATGCATACATGCATACATGCATGCATGCGTGGGTACATGTATGTAGTTATGCATGTATGTAGGTAGGTAGGTCGGTAGATAGGCAGATCAGTAGGTATGCATGTATGCATACATGTAGGCGTGTACACACATTTGCTCACATGTATGTGCAATATTATGTATCTTAGTAGGCGTACATAGTGTATGTGTATGTGCATTTGTTATAAACATAGCCCTACCAGGCGACACTGAGCGTGCCTTGCGGCACGGTGGCGGATCATCCCCCGTCTTCGACATTTGGCGCGAGGACGCGCTTCCATCCCAAGCCGCAGTACTATGCCCGACACATTCGTTTGCACCCCGCTTCTTCCCGCTCTACTGCAAGTCCACCTTCGACGCTTCCTTCCGTTTCCCCCCTCCCTCTCCCCCTCGCTCTCTTCTTCCTCCCGTTCCCGTCTGTCGGTCTTCCAGACTTTCGATTTCGCCACCCGCCACTACCCGTTCCTCGGCCTTCTCGCTTGTACCTTTGACGTCTCCCAATGTCGTTCTCGGGCTCTCAGTTGGCCAGTCTGCGGCGCGGGCTTGAAAGTCGTCGTTCAATCCTGTGGCGTTGCGCGGTGGTGCTCGCGGGAGTAGGACGTGAAGAAGCAGAAGTGGATGAGGGAGAGAGGGGGCGAGGGAGGGAGGGAGGGAGGCAGGCGGAGGGGGTAGAGGAGCGGGTAGGTGAGGGCGAGCACGGAGGATGAGGAGTAGGAGGAAGCACGCAAGGAAAGACGAGGGAGGAGGAGAAGGAGGAGGAGGAGGAGGACGAGGAGGATGAGGAGGATGATGAGGAGGCGGACGAGGAGAAACCAGTAGGAGACTGCGAAAGGAGGAGGAGGAGAAGGAGGATGATGATCATGAGGAGAAGGAGGAGGAGGAGGAGGAGGCGGAGGAGGAGGAGGAGGAGGAGGAGGAGGATGAGGATGGAGGAGGAGGGTGATGAGGATGAGGAAGAGGGGGATGCGCAGGGTGAGGAATATTGGAGGAGGGAGAGTGATGAGGAAGGTGAGGAGTCGGAGGTGGAGGACGGGGTGGGAGAGAGGGAGGCGAGGGAGAGGGAGAAAGCTTGAGGAGCGTATACCGCGCGGACGGGAAGCGGGCCCGAGAGGTCTGGATCAATGACGACTGGGCTGGGTACGAGGTTCCGCTGCCGTTCTTCTTCCAGCCCTCCCTCCTCCTCGCCCTCTTCTCTGTCCTCCTCCGCGACACCATGCAGCCTTGCGACGTCGTGTTTCGACGGCGAATCATATTCACGCAATGCGGTGACGTTTGCCATGGCGGCCCTGGGCTGTGTCCGCGCGCGCTGCCGAAGGGCTGCAGCTCTAAGCCCCCTAGATGGGGTCGGAGTAGATGGGGTCAGAGGATCGCGCCGCATCGCGGATGCATCGGCGATGCGGCTCGATGGGGAGCCCGATTTTCTCCAGCTGACGTCGTCGATGCATTGCTGGCGTCCTTGGTGCGGCGCGATCTTTCGACCCCATCTGCTCGGACCCCTATCTAGGAGGCCTGTAACGGCTGCGCCTGAGGCGAGCGATGGCCGTGGGCCAGGGATTCTGGACGCCTGGACGTCTGCCCTTGCTCGCTGCCGCTGTTCCCGATAGGAACTTCAACTGCTTCCTCAGCGACTGCGTCTTCTCGTCCTCCTCCTCCTTCTCCTCCTCCTCATTGTTGCCCTCTCTTTTTTTTTGTTGGGGGGGGGGGGGCAAGGATTCTGGCGTTCTGGCGTTCTGAAATTTTCTGAAGCTGGTTTCGGCCACATGGACAGTCAAGTTTGGGGGATCCACGAATCCAGCAGGGAAAATCTGAGTCAGCCTTTATTCAGTCATGTCCGACATGAGGTGGTGTGCCATACTAGGGTGCACTAGTCCATTATTTGTTGTGGCGCCAAGAGTGAGGAAGCAGCGGAAGCGCACTCAGAAATAAGTCAGCAATTATTGAAGTCTTCCATGGGAGGCAGCAGATGAGGATGGCGGAGATCGCACAGCGCACCTCCTCTTCCTCCTCCTCCTCCTCCTCCTCCTCCTCCCTCTCCTCCTCTTCTTCCTCCTCCTCCTCCTCGTCCTCCTCCTCGTCCTCCTCCTCGTCCACCTCCTCCTCCTCCTCCTCCTCCTCCTCCTCCTCCTCCTCCTCCTCCTCCTCCTCCTCCTCTCACTCCTCTTTTCAATACTCGTCCTCCTCCCCTCCCCCGCCCCCTCCCCTCCTCTCTTCCCCCTATTCCTCTTCTTCCCCTCCCGTTTTTCCTCTCCCTTCTTCTCGCCCTCTTCGTCGTTTCCCCCCCCCCCCCCCCCCTCCATCCCGTCGTTGTCGGTGTCGCCGGGCACGGGGAGACCCAAGCGGCCAGCGGCGCGGGCGCCCCACCAGAACCCCGCCCGCCGCTGCCGCCGCCCACGCGCCCACGTTGCATACCCCCATGGGCGCCTACACACGGGAATACGCGTGGCCTATGCGTGCGCGTAGCAAACGCATGTTTGGCCCCTCCCTCCGTAGCCTCTGTGGCTCAAGCCGTCTCGGCTCGAGCACGCCCCTGTCTCAGGTGCGCGCTCCAGCCGCTGCATCCTGTAAGCCTGTGGCGGCGCGCAGGCGGCAACGGGCGGCCGCCTCGGCCCGCGCTGCCGGTGCCGCGGGCGGCGCGCGAGCCGCGGGCGTTTCCAGCGCCGCGGGCGACGCGACGCCAGCGCTGCCGGCGCCGCGTGCGCCGCGGGCGCCGCGGGCGCCGCGAGTGCTGCCAGCGGTGTGGGTGCCGCGTGCGCCGCCGGCGCTGCCAATGCTGCCGGCGCCGCGGGCGCCGCGGGCGCCCCGTGAGCTGCCGGCGGTGTGGGCGCCGCGTGCGCCGCGTGCGCCGCAGGCGCCGTTGGCGCTGCGGCCGCCGCTGGGGCTGCTGGCGCCGTGTGCGTCGCAGGCGCTGCCGGCGCTGTGGTCGCCGCCGACGCCGTTGGCACCGCGGGCGCGGTTGGCGCCGCCTCGGCCGCCGTGGACGGCGCTGCGGCGGCGGCCGCTGCCAGGCTTCTGGCGGCGACGGCCGCCGTATGCCAGGCGGCGACAGCTGCGGCCCGCGCGGCTGCCCGACCGCGCGCGCCACCTGGTCTGGAACACAGCGCCATCAGCTAAAGTGTGGAGATGAGTGAGTGCAGACATGGAAGAGTTGGGATGGTGAAGACCAGCGCGATCCGCTACAGCAGCACAGACCATCGAGCGCGATAGTGGAGAGCAGTGGCAGCGGGCCGCGTCGCCGCTCATGGGAATGCCTGGCTTGCAGTCGGAGCATAACGCGATCAGCTACAGTGCGGGGATCAGCAAGCGCGAAAATGGAGGGCGACTGCACGGCCCTTTTTCGCCATCCGACGCCTCGCCCTACGCCCAGCCCGACGCCGAGCCCCGCGCCCCACTCTATGCCCACCCCGACGCCCCGTCGTACGCCATTTCCGACGCCCCTCCCCGGCGTCCAGCCTCTTGCAGAGCCCCGAGTTTCATTCGGCACTCTGCCCGCTCCCGCCGCCCATCCCGACGCCCGATCCGAGTTCCTTCCCAACCTCTGCGCCCAATCCGACGGTTCGTCCAGCACTGGGCTTGAGGTTGCCTTGTGGTCCAGCGCGTGCAGCCTTAGTGCTGGGATCAGCGAGCGCGATGTTAGAGAGCAATGGCAGCGGGCCGCGCCGCTGCTCAGGAGGTTGGGAGATTATCAGCCCAACTTGCCGAGCGACAGTTGGGGCCACTGCGTCCTCGCAAGCGTAGTGCGGAGCACCGACGCCAGCGTCCTCGGCAGCGCGGTGCGGTTCACCGCCGCCGGCCTTTTTTCCAACGCAGCCGTGGGCCCTGGAAACGACAGGGCCGTTTTTTTCCCCAGTTCCGTTTTGCCTTTTTTTGCCGGTTCCGACGCCGTTTTTTAATCCGTTCCGTCACCGTTTTTGTGCCGGTTCTGCCTCCGGTTCCAGTCCTGGAACCGTTTTTTGCTGTTTCCGGTCGCCGTTTTTTTGCCGTTTCCATTTTCCAGAGACATTTTTTCGGATGCGGTGAAAAAGCCGGCCCCGCCGTTTCCGGGGCCCGCTAAGCGGGGGCGCCGACGTTACAATTTCTTTCGCAAGGGTAGCCGGGGGCACTGATGGCAGCCCCTTCGTCGGCGCAGTGCGGATCACCAGCGACCCCGTCCTCGGTGCCGCCGCGCGGATCACCGATGCCAGCGCTCTCGCAAGCACAGCCGGGATCATCAATCAGCGCTGGCACCCTGGCCAGCATTTCGGACCGCCGATGCCAGGATCGTCGCCCACGCTACCGGGGGCTCCGACGGCCAGCGTGTTCGCCAACGCAGATGGGAGCACCGAAGCCAGCGTTCTCGCCGGCGCAGCGCGGGCCACCAAAGCCAGCATCTTGCCAGCGCAGCGCTGTGCACCAATGCCAGGATCTTCCTCGGCAAAGCGTAGACCGTCCGACGAAGGCATCTATACACCACCACCGTGCCAGGCCAGGGCCATCCTGGGCCCTAGGATGGTGTATAGACCCTCCTGGCTCGGCCAGGAGGGCGTATACACCATCCTAGGGCCCAGGATGGCCCTGGCCTGGCACGGTGGTGGTGTATAGATGCTTTCTGCGTAGACCGCAGTCGCTGGCGCCCCCGCCAGCGCGCCCCAGAGCACCGACGCCAGCGTTCTCGCCGGCGCGGCACGGATCGCTGGGAATGTCGTTTTCATGTCCATTCGCGCCGGTCGGCTTTGTGCCCTGCCGCCCTGGCGGCAACATTGCTTCCGCGCCCTGGGGGTCGACCGATGGGCCTTCCGCGTCGAAGGTAGTGGCGAAGATGCGCGTGCTTGCGGCGTCGCGGAGACAGGCGCGGGGCGTCGGGCGCCTCCGTTGACGGGCCGGCCAGGCGCGGGGCGTCGGGAGGCCGCAGGCCACTCGCGGGCCCTTGGGGGCAGCGCGAGGGCCCTACAGGCGAGGCGAGCTCCTCGCTCCTCGCTCCTCGCTCCTCCTCCTCCTCCTCCTCGCTCCTCCTCCTCCTCCTCCTCCTCCTCCTCCTCCTTCTCTTCCTCCTCCTCCTCCTCCGCCCTCCTCCTCCTCCTCCTCCTCCTCCTCCTCCTCCTCCTCCTCCGCCCTCCTCCTCCTCCTCCTCATCCTCCTCCTCCTCCTCCTCCTCCTCCTCCTCCTCCTCCTCCTCTTGTGAAGAGGACGAGGCGCCTGGCGGCGCCCAGACCTGGGGTGCTCGCTCCACAGCTGCTTCTGTGCCCGGTTCGCCTTCTGTTTCACGTCGCCCCGGCTCGTCCAGGCACCCCTGCCCCCTGGCTGGGCTTGGTGCGGCCGCCAGAATTCGACCTTGACGAGTGCGCGGGTCGGGCAGACTGCGCGCTGTGCGTGGCGGCCCGCTTCTGGCGCGCCAGTCGTCCCTGGCCTTTCGCCCGCCAGCGCGAGCGCTCGAGCGGCAGCGCGGGTGCCTTCCAATGCGTTGCTTGTCTCGAGTCCGTCCGGGGGGCGCCGTGCGAGTGGCCGGGCGGGGCCCGGCGGCGCGAGCGCTAACTGTGGACGGCAGGGGTTGGCGACGGCGGTGCGCGGGCAGACGTCGCGGCCGTTGTCGCCGCCGAACAGGCAGACGCCGCCGCTATCTGCCGATTGGTGGCTGCAGGGCCATGCGCGCCGCTGCAGAGCGAGAGGCGACGCTCCCGCGGCGGGGGCTCTGGCTGGGGAGGCGGAAGTCGGCGCGCGCGGCTCCCCGCGGACCAGGCCCTGCCCGAGCCGCCGTGCGCGCCGCCCACCCGGGCGTTCTGCTCGAGGACGTTCCCCCGGCGGCCCTAATTAGCTGCGGCCTCGGGGGGCAGGCGTGGCGGCCATCGCTCCGCGCGCCCCCGGCCCCCTCGACGTCTGGCGAAGGCGGCCAGACAGGCGCAGCGCGCGGGCGCGAAGAGGGTCCCTGGGAAGCCGCCAGCGGCAGGCCGCCGGTCGATCTGGCATTCGCGGCGCGCTGGGAGCGGCGCGGGTGCTCCGCCCGCGGAGGCCTGAGGGCCCGCGGCAACCTGGGGCCGGGCGTGGGCGGAGGCCGGCAGTTCAAGGGGCGCGCCCGGTGTGCCTGGCGAGCTGGATAATGGTTGGGTCCGGGCATCCTGGGCTCCTGGTGTTCTCTTTTCCTTTGCTCTTGCTGGTCCTGGACCCAGGTGCTGGTTGCGTGCTTCCTGGCCGTCTTGGCTCTGGTGCATGCTGGTCGTTGCGTGCCTCGCCGCACCTACCTCGCCGTTGTATGCGAGTGGGCCTGCCTGGTCCTGTGGCTGGTGGCAGGTGATTCGGCCGCCTGGGGGTGAGCCTACCTGAGCCTGGTGCTGGCGGCGTTCGCTCGCGCCATGTCCTTCTCTTCCTTCGATGCTTCGGCTTTCTGCTTCCCTGGTGCCCAGTTGCTGGTGCTTTTGGAGGAATCCTCAAACAGACATTTCTAAGACCTTTCTCGGGAGGGTGTTGTCGGAAGGTTTCTGGAGGAATCCTCGTGACAATGACACCTTCTAAAACCTTCCTCAGGGTTGTTTTCGTGAAAATTTGGGAGGAATCCTTTTTTGGGGCACATCTATCTATCTATCTATCTATCTATCTATCTATCTATCTATCTATCTATCTATCTATCTATCCATCTATCTATCTATCTATCTATCTATCTATCTATCTATCTATCTATATATCTATATATCTATCTATCTATCTATCTATATCTCTATCACTATCACTATCTCTATCTCTATCTCTATCTCTATCTCTATATCTATCCCTATCTCTATCTCTATCTCTATCTCTATCTATCTATCTATCTATATATCTATCTATCTATCTATCTATCTATCTATATATCTATATACCTATCTATATGTAAGATACATATGAATACTTTTTTCAAACAGTATGAGAGATTATATATAATCCTCCGGGGGATTCTGGGGGGGGGGTTCGGGGGGGCCCCCTTGGGCGCTTTCCTAAGACCTTCCCCAGGAAGTTTTTTTTTTTTTTCTTTCTTTCTCTCCCTCTCTCTTTTTCTTTATTTCTCTTTCTCTCTCTATATAGATATGTACATTGAATAGGAATCTTTTTTGGGGGGCAGGGGGATGTTTGAAAGGTTTTAACAGGGATCCTCCCAGCGACCTTCCTCAAACTTTTTAGGATGTTTCTTGGGGGGCTCCTCTGACAAACATCTTCCTAAAACCTTTGTCAGAGAGGATGTTGACAGGTTTTTAAAGGAATCCTCGTGGCGACATTCCCACGACCTTCCTTTGGAAGTGTTTTTTGAATAATCCCTCCAACGACCTTCCTAAAATCTTTTCCGGGAAGGTGTTTGGGAGGTTTTTGAGGGAATCCTCTTAAAGATCCTTCCTGATGCCAACCTTCCTCGGGATTTTTCATATATTTAAACAACGTTTTTGGAAAAATCTTCCTGGCGACCTTCCTCAACCTTCCGTGTATTTCTGGTAGGTCTTTGGAGGGGTCATCTTAGAAAACCGTCCTTCAACCTTCCCCAGGAAGGTTTTTCGATTGTTTTTGTGAGGGATCCCCCCCAACAACCTTCTTAAAAACTCTCGAGAAGGTTTTGTTGGAAGGTTTTTTGTAATCACTCCTCCGGGCAACTTCATCAAAACTTTTTGCAGGGCGACGTCTGGAGTGGGCAGCGCGAACATGGCGCTTGGCGCTATGGCCAGTCCACAGGCGCTGGCAAGGGCCCCCAGGGCAAGGGCGTACCATCGCCGGACACAGGCAAAATGGAAGCGCCCGCCCGGTGCGAACTGGGGCCGCGCACCAGCGGCCAGACCTAGGCGCCGTTGCCTGGCCCCTGCAGCCCGCCGACGCTGCCGCGGTGCGCCGCGCCCTCCTCGGCGAAATCCCTCGGCCCCGTGCGCTGAAATCAATGGCGTGCTGCGCCCGCTGGCAGCGCCCGCTGCACGATGCCCGAAGAGTGCCCCTGAGAGCCAGAGCTCTGGCGGATACCTCCGTTCGCGCCGACCAGCTGCTTGGGTCATCCTAACCTTGCCCTCCTTCCTGCGCGTGCTGTCTGTCGAGGCGGCGCGCTGCGCTTCTTCGCCCGTGCGGTGCATCGTTCTGGTGCTTTCCTGATCTCCCGCCTGCGTGGCTGCCTTCGGCGCCCGCTGGCCGCCGCCCGCTGCCCCAGCTGCAGCGCTCGGCTTCTCTCTCCTCCACGCGGCTCTGCCGCTCTCCCCTGTGCAGCTCTCCGCTGCGCCCCGCTGCCGCCTCCTCTCCTGCCCCCCGCCGCTGCGTGCTGTCCGTCGGGGCGGCGCGTGCCGCTACTCACCCGTTCGCTGCACCATTCTGGTGCTCCCCTGGCCTCCCTGCCAGCGCGGCTGCAACCCGCCGGCCGCCGCGTGCGGTCCGTCCGGGCGGCGCGTGGCCTCTCCCCCTCCCGCGCCGCCCGTGAGCAGCTCTTTGGTTCGCCGTCGCGCGCTGTCCGTCGGGGCGGCGGGTGACTCTGAGTTCCCCTGCCTGTTGCACCACTCGCGCGGCTCTCCTGCCCCCCCCCCCTCGGCTCCGCCCTCCACCCCGGCGTCTGCGGCCCATCGCAGTGCGGCCGCCGGCGCGCCCGCGCCCGTCTCTGCCCGCCTTGCGTCGCGCTCTCAGCCGCCTGGCTCACTCCACATTTTGCGGGGCGGCCGCCCCTGGGCCAGGCGCCCCTGGTCGCCTCGGTCAGTCCCGCAGATTTGCATCCCCGTCGCCTGCTCCCGTGCAGCGCGGCCGCCAGCGCCCCCGCGCGCGCGCCCCTGCCCGCCCCCCTCTCCGCGCCCTCTGCGCTCTCAACCAATGGGCCCGCTCCACCTTCTGTGGGGCGGCCGCTCGCCTGGGGCCAGGCGCCCTGCAGTTTTGCCCTCGCCGTCGCCTGCGCCTGTGCAGCGCGGCCGCCGGCGCCCTCGTGCGCCCGCCCGTGCCCGGCCCCACTCCGCGCCCTCTCCTCTATGCCACCTGGCACGCTTCACCATTCGTGGAGCAGTCGCCCCTGGGGCAGGCGCCCCCGGTCTCCCCTGTCGGTCTTGTCATTTTGCTCTCCCTGTCGTTTGCGCCCGTGCAGTGCGGCAGCCGGCGCCCCCGTGCGTCCGCCCGTGCCCCGCCCCACTCCGCGCCCTTAGCTACCTGGCCGCGCCCACCTCCTCGTGGAGCGGACCGCCCTCGGGCCTGGCACCTCCGGTCGCCTCGTTGGCCCTCGCGCTTCCAGACAGTTCGCCCGCCTTGGGTCGGTGCTTCCTTTTCTCTTTTTCTCCCTCGCCCGCTCTCCTCCTTCCCCCCCTCCAGCCGCCGTGGCGCCGCCGCGAGGCGACTCTGCCAGGGGAGGTGATGCTCGCGGCGTAGTGGAGAGTCGCGGGGACTACCATCACAGTGCACGTGGGCTGGCGCTGAACCTGGGCCGGGTTGGTTTTCGCAGTTTGGAGAATTGCGTAGTGGACAGTCGCGGTGACTACCGTCACAGTGCACATGTTTCGGAGCCGCGGCTCCTGCCCGCTGCCGCCGGGCCCCTTGCCCTACTGGGCGCCTGGACGCGCCGTTCGTCGGCCCCCGCGCCAGTGCGTACGGCATCGCGGCTCCTACTGGCCGTTTCCCCTTGCTCTGCGCATCGCGCCTGCTGGCGCGATCTGCCTGGCTGGCGCTCCAGTCCACTGGTCGCCTTCCCCGCCGCCCGCGGGCCGCCCCGGCTGCTCATGGCGGAAGTCTTCCGCCTCTGAGTGCTCGCCCCCTTTCCCCCCCGGGCGGCCGCCCTGCCTTTCGTTTTCCCCCCTCCTGCGTGCTGGCCAATTCGCTGTGTAGTGCCACTGCATTGCTGCCACGCTGGAGCGGATTGTCCCGCCTCGCTGCCGACGGAAAAAGTTCGGCTTCGCTTTCGCGCCGCGCCTTCTGGGTCCTCGACCTCGTCCTGTTCCATCGCGCATTTCGCCTTCTCCTTGCCTTCGACACCTTTCGAGTTCGGCGTGCGCGGCTCCCTCCTCACGCTGTAATTGCGTGGACTTCGACCTCGGCCTGTGCACCTCGGCACGCGCGCGAATATTTGCATAGTTTGAGCCTGCTCCCCTCGCTTCGGGGCCCTCCCCCCGGCTCTCCTTCCCGCGCTCCGCGCGCGCCTCCCCCGCCTTTCGTGCCCCAGTTCGCTACGGATGTGCCTCCCCGTCGCCCGCGAGTTGCTTGACGTCTCGCAGCCGCCGACTAAAAGTATGGCCCTTCCCCCCCCCCCGCGCCCGTATTTCAATCAGTGCATTCTGAAGAATTTGGCGCGCCCATGTTGGATACCCACCCCCCGTTTGCGCTGACACTCGTGAATGGTGCTGCACGTGGTATGCGCGTTTTGGGGATGACTCGTCCTTCATTCTGGCACGTCTGGTCTACGTTCGCGTTGGCGCGCTATCGTACTTTAATCGATGCTATGCCAGGTTTTGGTGTGCGGTGTGCGGTGAGCTGTGCTAGGCCGTGCAGGACAGACCGCTGGTCATGTGTGAGACTTCCCATGCCTGGCCTATTGGCGCCGTCGTGGCACGTGTGTTCTTTACTCTGATTTCTTCCTTTCCATTGGTGCCTTCATTGCCGCACAGGCGCCGGGGAGCTATTCCAGCCGCCAGGAGGCAACCTTGGCTGCCTACGTTGCCGCGGTGGAGGGCTTGGAGGTGCCAGTCCCCAAGGAGCGTCGCCCCCCCAGACATGCGCGCCGCCAGATTTTCGGTTCGCCTGACGACTGGACGTGGGGATGTTCCCAGAGGTGTCCCTGGCCTGAGGTTCAGGGGCGGCTTCACCGACCCCTAGCAAATTGCCCTTCCGTGACGTGTTTGTCGCCTCGCTCTGCGACGTGTGTGTGTGTGTGTATGTGTGTGTGCAGCCAGAGGGAAGCTTGAAAGGCGAGGGTAACGTCACGGAAGTGGATGGTTTGCGAGGGGTCGACTAGGCCGCGCCCAGGAGGTGTCTCCAGGACCTTCGGGGGGCTCGGAAGGCCCCCGAAACATCCCCCACGGGGATCATGACCACTCCTGGCAACACTCGACCGATATCGCCTTTTCCTCGCCTGTCCCCGTCCCTCGACCAGCGTCTTCCTGCTCTCGCTCGGCCGCCGCTTCCTCCCCGCTCCGCCCTTCGGGCAGCAGGAGCAGGAGGAGGAGGAGGAGGAGGAGGAGGAGGAGGAGGAGGAGGAGGAGGAGGAGGAGAAGGATGTGGAAGGGGATCAGTTCCGATTGCTGTTGATTGTGGGGGACTAGCTGGAGGATGCCGAAGAGTTGGATGTGGTGTTCGTCATTGCTTTCCTTGGCTATCTCTTCCGCCATGGGCATCCGGGCTCTTTAAGCTGCACTTTCGGGAGGTGCTGTGCGCGCGCGTGCGGCCATTCGGCTGACGCTGCGGTCGGAACGCCCTCATAGTATGGCAAAGACAGGAGGAAGAGGACCAAAGTAAGCCCAATATGCATCAGCGATGCTGCAGTACACCCCCTCACCCCAAGTACCCTCTTAAGTCCCCGTAATCCTTCCTTTCCGCCTGGGGAAGCGCCCTTTTGAACGACAAGCATCCTATGGGCATGCCAGCATGCCATTCAGTCGAGAGACCCGCTTTTGAAAGGAGCGAAGTGCTTTGCATCTCTCCAGCGAGCAGCAAGGCACTGGAAGATGTATGATCCCACATTTCAAAGAGGTGTCCCGCGAGACCCACGTCTTGATGAAAACCCAAAGGCGCCTTCTCTGTGCTGCTCTTGCACACGTTGTCAGTCGGCCACGAGCGTCGAGAAGGTCGCAAGCGACCCCCCCCGTTCTGACAAAGGAGCTGTCTTCCATCCGTGCAGCTCTTGATCCTGTTCGAGTCACTGTTAGGTCGGGCCTGTCCCTCTACGGGGGGAATGTTCAAACATAGGCAAAAAAATAGTCGGGGGACGAATTTTGACCATGTTTGAGCATCTTTGGGTTTTTTTTGTTTTGGGGGGTATTTTCATTTTTTCGTCCAGAATCCCCCTGTAGGGGGACACGCCCGACCTAAAGTTACAGTCAACCCGCATAGTAAGGACGGGCAATCTTCCCAAGGGTGCCCTTGCATCCTTGCCTCCTCGTTGCATCCTTGGCCACTTTCGTTGGCCGCGCCCCGCTCGAAGAAGTCGAAATGGGCTTCCAAGGGCCTTGCATCCTCATCGCGCATCCTTACCACACGGGTTGACTGTACAGGTCCGTAAAGTCACAGAGGTCTGAAGAGGAACTCTCAAGTTTTGAAGAGGAGCCGCCCTTCATCCGTGCAGCTGCTGCATGTGCTCAAGCTTCCGGTCTCCAGGTTTCTTCCCCCTCCTCCTCCTCCTCCTCCTCCTCCTCCTCCTCCTCTTCCTCCTCCTCCCTCTCCTCTTCCTCTTCCTCCTTCTTCTCCTCCTCCTTCTCTTCCTCCTCGTCCTCCTCGTCCTCCAATGAAGCCTCGAGCGAAGGCCCCACTTTGAAAAGAAGCCGCCTACATTCGTTGTAGCTGTTGCAAGCTCTCTGGGGCGACTGCGCGCGGCGCCGAGGCGAGACCCCGATTTTGAAAAGGAACCGCCGCCGCCCATCGCGTCGCAAAGTACGCGGCGTTCAGGCGAGAGCCACATTTTGAAAACGCTACCTTTCATCCGTGAAACAGTGGCACAGTTTCAAGACGAATGTGCGCGGTGCTCAGGCGGGAGCCACATTTACGATTACCCTCATCCATACAACGTGTTCCAAACTTTTTAGAATAATGTGCGCAGCTCTAAGGCGATCTCTTTACAACGACTCCTCTCCATCCGTGAAACTGTTGCAATTTCTAAGCGCCGTGATTAAACATGGTGAGGACGTCTCAGGCGAAACGCCCAGCCCGCCCTACGGACACGTTTGGGGTGCGACGGAGGAGTTGTTCAATCGCTTCGCTCATTCCGTTCCGCCAGCCCATACTCTAGCATCGTAGGAACTTGCCTGCGTGTTCGCAGGGGCATGTTTGTGGCCTCGTGGGACCTCTTGGGAGCCTCTTGAGGCTTCTTGTCGGGGAGTCTTGTGAGAACTCTTGTGGGCTTGCCGGCAGCCCCAGATGCCACCTTTTGGGGAAGGGCTCGAAGTCTCAGTTCGGGTTCCTCCTTTTAGGCTCCTCTCGGGGGCCTCTGGAGCCTTTTTGGGGGTCTCTTGGGTTGTCTTGGGACCTTTTTTTGCGCATTTGTGGCTCCTCATGGGAGCCTCTTGTGCTGGGGCGATTTTGGGTGCCTCTTTGGCCGCCTTGGAGCGTCGGAAGGCCGAATCGGTGAGAACGCTGACACCTTTTCAAAACATAACGGAAATCACTGTTTGTGGTTCTCGGGGCTTCCTTGGGAGCCCATTGGGGGCGCTCTTGGGGGGCTTTTGGAGCCGTCTTGGAGGGTTGGGAGCCCGAAGAGGCAATAACGCTAACATCCTTTAAAACGTTGGAATCAATGATTTCGGCCTCTTGTGACTGTGGGGCCTCTTTGGGTGCTTTGGGGATGTCTCTGTGGCCTTTTGGGCAGTCTGTTGGGCGTCTTGGAGCGCTCTTGGGCCGTCTCGGAGCCCTCTTGGTCCGTGATGGGACCCTCTTGGAGTTCTCTTGGCCCGTTTTGGGGCCCTCTTCCGAGGGTCCCTGGGGTTGCGTTCACGAGTTCGGGCCCAACCCCCGTATGCAATCGGATTTGGGACCCCGAGGGAGGGGGAAAGGGGGAGGGGGTCAGCCAAATATATCACGCGCCTTGTCGCCCCCAGCGAGCGGGGATCGGCGGACAAGGAAAAGAGATGAAGGGAGGGGGGCGCCGAGGAGGATGAGGCCCCCCACCTAGCGTTAAGTCGGGCCTGTCCCTCTACGGGGAATATTAAAAGATAATCAACAATAGTCTTTTGATTATTTTCGAGTATTTTTTGACTATTTTGGGGCATTTCTGACTATTCTTTATTTTTCGTCTAACATCCCCATGTATGGGGGACAGGCCCGACCTAACCCCAGCGTTACCCCCTGCAGCTGCTCACAGCGATGGCTGCTGTCCCTGCTCCCGGGGCCGCCGCGACCCTGCCCCGTCCACGCGTGCACCCTGCCCCAGCCGCTGCTGCTCTTCCCCCCCCTCGTCGTCCCGTCGGCCCGCTCTTCGCCTCCTTCGTCGTCCTCCTCCCCCGTTTCATGCTTCTCCTCCTGCTCCCTCTCCCTCGACGTCGCTCTTCGCCTCCTTCATCGTCCTCCTCCCCCGTTTCACGCTGCTCCTCCTCCTGCTCCCTCTCCCTCGACGTCGCTCTCGTCTCTGCACGGTCCGAGCCCCGTGTGATGGAGGCGGGGAGTGTGTGGGAGATGGGCAACGTGTTGGGGGCGGAGGCTGCGCAATAGATGTGGGGTTGGTTGGAGACATAGACGGTCGAGTCGCGGCGGGCGGGCGAGCGGGCTGGCGGCGGGTCGGGGAATTTTAATGGAACTCATCAGGGTGCTCGCTTGCAGTGGGATGTTACTGAGTAGATGCGTGTGCTGAGTAGATGGGTATTGTGTTGGATGCGGGGACTGTGCAGGGAGTGGGTGTTGTTTTGGGAGCGGATGTTGTGCGGTAGATGCTTGGTGTGCTTGAGACGGAGACTGCTGAGTGGCGGCGGGTGGCGGGCGGGTGGGCGGCGGGTTGGGATTGTGGCAAGAATCTCAAGTATGGTGCCTTGCAGTTGGAGGCAATTGACTGGACGGGTGTGTGTGTTGGAAATGGAGGGTGTGCAGGAAATTGGTTCTGCGTTGGGGACAGGCTGTGAAGTAGATTGGTGTTTTGCAGGGGACACAGACTGTTGAGTACATTGGTATTGTGGTTGATGAGAATGCTGTTTAGTACATGGGTGTTGTGCTGGAAACCGAAGCTGTGTATTTGGTGGGTGCTCGCGTGGCGGGCGCCGGGCGGATGGGTCGCGGTTCGAGTTCGAATGAAGCAGAACTCCCAAAGATGGTGTTTTGCAGTGGGAGGCTGCTGAGCAGATGGGTGTGCGGAGGAGATGGGTGTGGTGCTGGGGGCGGAGGCCGTGCAAGAAACGGGTGTTGTGCTGGGGACGGAGGTGGTTGACTAGGTGGATGGGTGCGGTGGTCGGGACAGAGGTTTTGTGATAGATGGGTGGTGAGCCAGGAGCGGACAGTTTCGATGAATGAATTGATGGCGTGCTGCAGGGGTGGGCCTGAACGGTGTTTTGGTGACTTTGTGGGTCGTTTTCGATTCGACTTCGTTTTGCGTGAAAGGCGGATTGGAGACGAAATGAGGGAGAACGAAAAAACATAACGAAAGCGAAAAACACCGCTTAGGTTCGGCCCCAACGTGCGGGACACGCCTCCTTGCGTCTATGCTGGCTCCTGGGCGTCTATGCTGGCTCCTGGACGCGCCTCCTTGTGAATAAATGGATGGCGCGTGGCTCCTTGCGTCTATGCTGGCTGGGCTGGACGTGCCTGGATGAATCTGGGTGCCTCGATGATGGCGTGCTGGACGCGGGCACTGCGCCCTGGCGGCCCTGGGCCTCCGAGAGGCCCCCCTGGGCCTCCCCGGAGGCTTCGCAGCGGCCTCGCAGGCGCCCCCAGGGGGCTTCCCCAGGCTCCCAGGCCCCCCCCCGGAGCTCGCGCCGCGGCCGAGAGGGAAAGCAGAAGAGGGCGGGCGGGCCGAGTGTTAGGTCGGGCCTGTCCCTCTACAGGGGGAATGTTCAAAAATTGTCCAAGCATAGTCTGGGGACAATTTTT